CTAAATTTAGAAAGGCTAGTGGTTTACATGCATTGCTTGTGCGGTTGGTGTAAGTCAGCTTACGTATGACATGCTTACCTCAAGGTGACAAGTTGAAATTCGTGCGGAAAGTGTGAGGCTTTGAAAATGACTCTATTGAGCGTTATCCTTCCTGGATGAGCCATCAGACATACTGTAGATACTGTCGAGAATCTACGACAGCCAATGAACTACGACCGTAGCCCAAACTGTATCCGTCACGGCATTTAAGGTTTGGACCTGTAGGGAACCCGCTGAGAAAACCTCCTTTATAAATATCCAGCGCCTTCGCCTCCTCGCTTGTGTGAGCGACATTGCAAAGATACGGTATCCATAGCGAGAGAATGAATCGTCACGATCCTTTGGGGCAAAACGAGTTTCAGGGACCAAAGTAACAGTTAGGTCGGACATGCTTGCCAGTGGACAGTGGATAGGCGGCGCCTCGTTTAACCATCTAGCAGTAATAACCCAGCATGAAAACGTGCAATTGGGTATCCGACCACCAACAACGAAGCAAGGCATACACCATCAAATGTAGTGTAAAGGATAGCAAAGATTGGTAAGGACAGCTGATTGAAAGCCACGCCTATATCTCCAGCGGAGTTGGCAGGTTATGTACTGCCCCGCAGTGGGTTAACAGATGAACCGTAGTGGGATCATTAGGGGAGGAGATATGGGAATATAAATAATCTCTGGGTAAGGAAGCGTCTGGGCTGTGAGGTTGCAAGACAGAAGCTACATCCGACAGATGAAGGGAATGTGAGGAGTAAGAGGAGATAGTCAGATCGGCCGATGTCGCTCGGACTGGAGGCGTACAGCAGATATGCTTGAAAGAGTTGGCCAGACGAATTTGCTCACAACCGGCCACCGCAGTGCGTAGCGTGGGTTGTTTACTTACTAGGGGGGAGTATCGAGTGATTCGCTTTGGAAGTCGGTTAGCTTCCAGACTTTGTGGCCCTATTCCCCAGGATTCGGTTACTGTCCGTAAGTCTTAACGGAGAATTCATGGAGAGTGATAAAAATAATGTGCGACACGTCCCAGTGTTGCGGGTTCCGACGACGGATACTTACACATCCACAGCAAAATCGGATTGCAACGCACCGTAGTTTCCGGTAAGGGTTGAGGTGTACCGGTTTTAAGACGCCATGTAGTATTTCGCACCATTTTGCTTACTGCTGGAGCTACATTTGTGCAGAGGTGAGCCTTGTTTCGTTTCTGGCGGAACGCCTACATATGCCTGAGGTAATTTGCATTGCCCTCGATCGCGTTTGCAACGTCCAAATCTGCTAGACGCGGGACAATTGCTCGTATTTGTGGTGAAAACGACAGCAGTTTGAAAGAGATGGCTGGCCGAATTTACTCACGACTAACCAGCCTAGTGGCAGCTTTATTTGGCCACATAAGCCTGGTGCATTAAATAGAGAAATGAATAGCAACCAACCAGCTTTTGGTTAAGAAGAAGGTTACAACCATGCGTACGGCCTAGGTAGAGCGTCTTTCCACAAAGCGGTAGACCTCAACACAGAAATCCTATACATTTAGATACAAATGGCCCTTATACCGTCCGTTTCTTTGACCTCAAATAGCATAAACTACGTGCTCATGTCTACGGGAAATGCACAGGACACCATCAGCTGGCTTCAAGACGGTTATCACTTTGCTGTGTACAAGAACACTAGAGCTTAGCTTGACAATACGCATATACACATAACATTACAAAAATTTTAATGTGCAGACCATAATAAATCACCCCCTACCCATTGGAGGAATTTCACCTCAATTGACAGTATGTGGAGGGCTACTGCAGCAAAGAATAAATAAATGAACATGTAAATATTTTGTTCACGACAAAGCAAGGCAAGGCTTTTGTGCGGGATCAATATCGTGCAACGCTGCACATGATAGTGTGTTATTGATCATGCCTTACTTGGTGTGTCTCGACAAATTCGAGAATAAACTATTTATTTATTTCTTTATTTATTTATTACCAGGACCAAAAGCGGCAGTAGTACGGACGCAGCCAGTAGTGTGTGTCACCCTGGCCCGAAGATTGCATGAAGACTACCCTTACATAAAGAGAGTAAAATTAGCTCATTGCAGTGGAGTATGTTATTAAGGAACTAGTCCGACGTGACGGTATACGCAGTGTAGGTCATGTGAGTAAAACATGAGAACAAAGATCCAACTCTAATTTAAGATATAGGCATTTTACCAATAACATATATAGGCGAAGCAGATAAATGCACAGAATTTGTGAAAAGTGGTAGCAATCAAGTTCCAGTAGCGTGGAAAAGCCCAGGTTTATTGATTGCGAGTCTTGTACGCCAAGCGGCAATAATGAGGCGCGTATGAAAATGTCTCAGCTGAAAAGTAAATCACCTGTACAAGTTACAGGGCACACGTGGACAATACTGAGATCCCACCTGAAAGATCGGTCGTGCATCCTCGACCTACTGTTGACGACGAACGAATGGTTACAAGTAGTGAAACAAGGCAAGTCGATCGACGTCATTTACATTGACTTCAATAACGCTTTAACAAGGAAAAACATGCAACGCTATTCAAAAGACAAAAGAAGATTAAAATTAGAAGCTCGCTGCATCTAAGGAAAAAATCTACATCCCCGACGGAATGTAAAGAAACAAGGTAAACAACCGCTTGATTAACTGGTATCCACCGAGCAGTGGCTTGCCACAAAGCATTGTACTGGGGCTGATTTTGTTTCTGATCCACGTAAACGATGTGCCGCAGCTACTCCATTCACCTTGTGGTTGTCCGCAGATGACTTGAAAGTGTGGAGAGTAACCTGCATACCCAGTTAATGTGGCCTGCTTCAGCAGGAATTTCACCGCCTCTCCAAGTAGACTACAGAGGTCAATCTTCCGAGCAACACGGTCAACTCGCAAGTCATGAGGTTGGGTAAGTGTAAGCACAGTCGAACATGCACGGTGGCCGGTCAATCATTGCATCCCGTGCCTTTTGTGCAAGACCTCGGTGTACTCTTCCGCTACAACCTAAAGTCCATGGACAACACGAATAGGCTTTACCAAAACAGCCTTTGTATGCGTTGGACGCTCAAGCGCAGCTTCAGCACTTAGTCCGAAGAGCTTGTAACTCGCTTCTTCGCCTCAATAATACGTCCAATACTAGAGCATGGCTCTCTAGCGTATTGTCTGAACACCTGGGGCGAGATAAAAACAAAGATTGAGCGAGTGCAGCATGTAGTCACCAGGCTGATTTCCAACTTACGAGGTGTGACGTGTGAAGACCGCTGTAAGAAACTAGGGCAATGAAGCAACAACGAGTGTAGCACCTCTGCGGGTGAACTTGCTGTTTTTCTAAGGTAGATAGGTGGTCGTCGCAAGTGATGCTTCCATTTTTATGTACTTTCACGTTTGCCCTAATGTGGCCGCTTACTAAATGTTTATGCTACGATTATCCGGCCACGTAATGGTCTATGCTCATCAGTACAGCCCCTAGGTCTATAACGCCTACGTACCAGCTGGACACGGAAGCCCACGGAGGTCACGGCCGGACGCATACTGTATAGTCGGCGTCCCTAATAGTTCAACAAAGCGTCCACGGAGATGGTTCATTGCTCATTGAGGCCATCAGTACATTGCCTAGGACCATACCGCTTGTCGCTGTATCACTCGCATCCAACTCGCTGCGTTCTCACTTGTTTTACATATCTGCATACCATTGAACAAACGCATACCATATATTCAACAATCCTGCCTGCTCCCGAATGTAGACCATGTAGTTGGATGGTTGTACTTGATGAGACTACTGACTCTCCTGTGACCCCACTACATTTCGTGCCATCTCTCGGATAAAGTAAATGCACCCAACAATTGTACTCAGGACCAGCAGGTATAGACTAACTAGGGCCGATGAATGCGCTGAAAGTAGCGCTCTGTGACAGGAGGAATAACGTAACAGCACTGAGAGTGACCTTGCGGGTGATCAATGCGTTCCAGCGCTCAAAACTACCTTTTCCCAAAACCTACACTTTCGTTTTACTATGGACTTTTGCTAGGTTGTTGTGATATGGGCATCCAGCCACCTACAATGCGTTTACTTTTCACTGCAGCTGCTTACGCACTGGACACAGAAGCCCTCGGAACCATCGACTGCACAAATATAAATTTATAATAACTAATATCTTTTTGTACTACAAAAGTAAAAGCAATGGTATGCGAATGTGTACTTGCTTTGTTATGTTGGCCTCATTTAATTGTGGAACATTCAATCGACTTTAGGCCGGCATTTTGGAAATGGAAATACGTTCCACTTGGCAACGCGGAAAAAATCCGCGACGCGAAACATTTAAAATTTTGCGGCCAAATATTTTATCTAAGGTTTTACAAAATAAACTGTGTCTTTCGCCCACTTATAATTTCCGGGCGCAAAACCATCAAATGAAACCATTATAACTTTTATATAAAAAGCTGTCCTCATTCCACGTTTGCAAAAGACAAAACAACTTTATAAATAAATAGTAATAAAAGCACAACCTAGGGTTATAAAATTAACTTTGTTGAAGTAATTGGCACCTACTATTACCAAATATATTGTGTTTATTATGACAATTTTAAAGCTAATCGTTTGCATACATTGAGAAGTTTGCAATGCGTTAATATATTTACAGTTATTTGGTTGGTTGCATTTAAAAATATGTTTGCTGATTGCTTTCGCTGTCACATTCGTAGAAGTGTTGCAACTAGGAAATCGTATTATTTACTTGCGGATCTATTGCATGAAATTGAAGCATTATAGATCTAGCTGGAGTTAATAGCCATGTCATTTGCGAAGCTGGTTGTGCCTGTTTGGAATAAACTTTTTTCCGTTCTATTAGCCTGCGAAACTGTGGAGAAATTTAAACATAGTCTAGACTTACATTGGCTGACCCTGTTTTCCGAATTTCCTTGAGGACCAGTGAGTGCACATAATCTCATTATTTAATGATAGTATGTCGTTCGTCTTGCAATTGCTTCTGTTTTTCACTATTATAGAAGCAAAAGTATTCTAGCAAGTCGCAGCGCAAGTGTTCTTTTCGCTTACTGTCACACGAAACGGGACGTTTGTTAAGCGGAAGCTTGTTTCGACCCTGGATTTTGTCCTGTCCTGTCTTGCTAGTCACAGTCACTTTTCTTCACAACTTCTTTTGGTTGTCTTTGCTGTCTTTTGATGCTTATCTGGAATGTACGCGGTAAATACTTGAAAACATATATGACTTTTTAAGCCTTTCTATATTACTTATTATTTCTTATCTCTGTTCTCGGGGCTGATCCTGAACATTGCTTTGGTGAGTTCGTACCAGCCATTGACTTCCTCAGTGTTTTCACATTTGGTTTCATAATTGCTGATAACAAATTGTTTCAATGGGAATTGCTGGTATTATTTTAAATCGGTATTCTCTTTGGCGTTTCTCCCTACGATCTACACCTTTTCTTCTCCCTGTCCTTACAGATGAACGGCCGTCCCATTTTTTCGAGATCTTGGTCACCCACAAAGCAAAAAGTAGATATGAAATTGAATGGCGTGGTATATTCAGATATGGTGCTAAACGATATTATACATCCTTAAATCCGCCGTTGTCTGCCTATAAGACTACTGTTAGTAAAATCCTAATTTCGGTCAATGCGAAACACTTTGAGCGCCCTCAGTGTTCGCGTTTTTACCCTTTCCTTTCCCTTAAACACCTTTGGGACGCATTTTGATCACACCAAAACCTTTTTGGTTTAGCCTAGTGGCTATATTATTGCGTGCATACAATATGGGAATTGATTCCCGCCTGAGTTTGACGGTATTTGTAGTCGGGAAGTATTCTTTTACGGTATCGTATGTTACTGAATATAATCCCGTCTATTGATAACACGACAGTATAACATTTTGGTGGATTCTATACAACACTGACGGTAACCGTTACCACAAATCACGACCCATTAAACTGGTTGGCGCATGAGGCACAACACAAAGTATTAGACTACGCTCTGCCCTGATATTAAACTCGCACCTGACATTTTCCCTGTACTTCTATCGCCACACCGGTATAAGTTTTGAAAACTGTCGCTCGGTTCAAGACTAGGTGATGAGGAAAGTGCTCTCTTGTCTTACAATCTTACTACTGAACCAGTGTCTAAATCAAATAAATCAAGGAGACTCTTAACACGAAGCGTGTTCTTATACGGAGATATTCTGCTCATGTTTGAGCAGTTTGCAAATATATACTTTTACTGCGAATCAAATGGCTGATATACTCCTATTGATGATGATGACAAACTTGTACCGGTGTCTTCGTGTGCTGCTTGGTGTGCGCAGATGCAGCGGCGGTGTCAAGATATGGTATTCGCCGAGATGTACTATCCGGTGCGTCATGATAAGCTCAATCGGTTTTCGACGATAAGTTAGGGTGTACAGCCCTAGTCTATTGCACCGGTCTTCATATGACACTTCATAAACCGAGGAGGAGACTTGTGGCCACATGCCATGCCCTCACAATCCTTTGTGCCTCGCCCTTAGTGAGCGGACGGTAGGTGAGTGAGCTGTACTCTAGCATTGATCTGGTAGTAGAGAAGAAGAGGCAAGTGGCAACCTCTTCGGACGAAGTGCAGAGGCAACGGTTGAGCGCACAGAGCATACGCCGTCCGTTTTGGTAAAGCTTATTCGTGTTTTCTACGGATTGCAAATGGCAGCATGAGAGTACGCCAAGGTCTTTCACGGATGGCGATGATTGTACCTGTTGGTCGGCTAGATTATAGCCTCGGTAATTACCACCCTTGCCAAAGCTCAAGTATACCGACTTGACCCGGTTGAGCGAAAGGTTGACCTTTGCTGACCACATGAAGAGGCTGTCATGATCACACTGAAGTAGGTCACAGTCGTCAGCCGCCTCAATTACCCTCCATACCTTAAGCTTACCTGCAAACAATGCGTAAAGTGATGATGATTACTGATAACTGGTTGGAAGCAGCAAGTAGAGGTTTCTCTGTGTAGGTGCATCTAATGTCACTCAGGGAGAAAGACCCGTCATGATGTGTTACGCTCGATATATTTTATGTCGGCAAAGTGTTTGTCCAGGAATTTCTTAAATTCCGACACAAAATTTGCCTCACTACGTGCTGCAGCAGGTCGTTCCATACACTCACCACCCTTCGTTCGAAACAGAGTTGGTAACCGACTCGCTTCAAATCCGTTACGGTAGACTGGTACCGGTGTCCTCGTGTGCTGCTTGATGTGCGCAAATGAAGCAGTGGCCTCAACATGGGGTAATCTCCCAGATGTAATATTCGGTGCGTCGTGATATGGTCAGTGCTCAGTCGACGATAAACTAGGGTGTTCAGCCCTAGTTTCTTACAGCGGTCTTCACACGTCACACCTCGTAAGTTGGAAATCAGCCTGGTGACTACATGCTGCACTCGCTCAATCTTTGTTTTTATCTCGCCCCAGGTGTTCAGACAATACGCTAGAGAGCCATGCTCTAGTATTGGACGTATTATTGAGGCGAAGAAGCGAGTTACAAGCTCTTCGGACTAAGTGCTGAAGCTGCGCTTGAGCGTCCAACGCATACAAAGGCTGTTTTGGTAAAGCCTATTCGTGTTGTCCATGGACTTTAGGTTGTAGCGGAAGAGTACACCGAGGTCTTGCACAAAAGGCACGGGATGCAATGATTGACCGGCCACCGTGCATGTTCGACTGTGCTTACACTTACCCAACCTCATGACTTGCGAGTTGACCGTGTTGCTCGGAAGATTGACCTCTGTAGTCTACTTGGAGAGGCGGTGAAATTCCTGCTGAAGCAGGCCACATTAACTGGGTATGCAGGTTACTCTCCACACTTTCAAGTCATCTGCGGACAACCACAAGGTGAATGGAGTAGCTGCGGCACATCGTTTACGTGGATCAGAAACAAAATCAGCCCCAGTACAATGCTTTGTGGCAAACCACTGCTCGGTGGATACCAGTTAGTCAAATGGTTGTCTACCTTGACCCGTCCACTTTTGATCACGAAGAAAACTTTTTGTTCCATCAATGTAGCCAGCCGCCAACAACACACAGTCTGTCGAGGAACACTGCGTGATTCAGCTTGTCAAAAGCCTTATTGAAGTCAATGTAAATGACGTCGACCGACTTGCCTTGTTTCACTACTTGTAACCATTCGTGCGTCGTCAACAGTAGGTTGATGATGCACGAGCGGCCTTTCACGAAACATGCTGTGCGGGCGTCAAGAGGCATTTCGTCTCGAGCAGCTGCAGGAGACTCTTCTTCACGATTTTTTTGAGCGTCTTTGCCTACATAGCCGCCAGGCAGATCGACGGTAGTTATCTACTTTGCTTGGGTTGGCACCTTTCGGTATTGGCTCTACAACTGAGCGTTTCCAGTCACCCGCTAATAGTTCAGTGGATACTGTGCTGTCGAACACCTCAGTTACGGAAGCACACACACATTATACAAGTTAGCTGGAGGTGGGAAACACGTCAACTACTGTGCCGCATTACATAAAAGAAGAAGGAATAAAATGCAACAGGAGCAAGCTAGCTGAGCTACCGGTAACGGATGGGTATCGTTTCGGTAAGCTACCTGCCGGCGTTTATGCAGCAGAAAAAACTAATTTATTTTTCAAACTTATAAAATGCTAAATAATGAGATCGCGGTTGAATAGGAGGCTAAAGGTGATGGGGTGGGGCAAAGAAGCACAGCACGAACGCCACTGAGGTCGGCTTCTAGCCATATCAACAAGTGTATCCAGCCAAACGTGTTCATTGTCTTTCGGACACCAACCAGGGTGCCGAGACGCTCCAACTGAGGCCAGCTTCAAAGTGAGGGTCTTCATTCCTCTCGACCAAGTCATCGCTTGGCCACCTCTCGTTTTCTTCCATGCACGCCCCGGGGCGCAAACAACGCACGTTGCGGGAGTTGGTTGGCTGGCATGCGTAACATGTGACCGTGCCATTGGAGCCTGGTGCGTGAAATAACCGTGCTGAGCGATTATTTCCTTTCCCTAAACAGGGCGTCGAACACGCTCGTTGCGCATGAGGTGTTCCCACCAGATGTAAGCCAAACTGCGAAGGCACCATGGTCAAACGTAACTAGCCTCTTTATGTCGGATGGTCTAAGGGGCCAGGTTTCACAACCGTACAGTAGGGTCGAACACAGCAAGTGAGCAATTTCGCGCCGGCACCATAGGTGACGAAGGTTAACAAAAGCGCTTCGTGCTTTTGCTGTACGGTTCGTGATCTCATTTTCAGTCCAAATTGCGCTGATACAACTTCTCTGGTAGTTGACTTTTTAAACGACTTCTAGCTTATCCCCACCAAGGATCAGTGCAGGATACGGCCCATTTCAATCTTGGTAAAGCTTTGAACTTCGAGAGTGCAAAGCATAGCCCGGATTGGCTGATAGCCAGTGTTAATCTGTCCAGTGTTGCTTGTCACGTTTGTGACCTGTTACTGTTGAGGATAATATCGTCAGCATACTCCAAGTCAATGCTTCGTTCTCCTTGGAGCCGCTTCACGCCTTATAGGTCGTGTCCAGTGAACGCGATTTCCATGACTTCGTCAATGGCGGTTGGAGAGAAAAGGGGACAGCGGGCATCCTTGTCTCACACCGCTGGAGTCATTGAATAGGGGGCGACAGCTTACCTAAGCCCTTACTATGCCCCAGCTACGTGCGTATAATGCTCAGTAATATTTACATATTTCTCTGGCACACCTTTCCTGAGTAGATAGTCCCAAAGGAAAGACCGATCAAGCGAATTGAAGGCATCTTTGAGTCGAGGAACACGACAATGGTGGGCCGTCAATATATGTGACAGTGCGCCAACAGCTGACACAGTGAGAATATGGTCGATGCAGCCACAACTTTGACGAAACCCCGCTTGATCTTCACGAATCTGACTTTCACGAGCGCCAGTCGGTCTAGAGGATGATAGAAGCAAATCATTCGGAGGCGATGAAGATCAAATAGATTCCTCTATGGTTACCGTATACCGATCATGAGTCACTCTTGAAAACTGGGAGTATGACGCAGTAGCTTTAGTCGATTGGTAAAGGCTCATGCTCCAACAGTTCCAATCTTAACACATGTTAATCATCCACAAGAACAGGTCCCCAAAATTTGAAGTGGGCTGTATGAAGGTCGTCTTTTCCCGCAGTTTTATTCAACTTCAGCCATCGGATCTCACGCTTGACTTCCGAACGAGGGACTGCCCAGGGAGCAGGGCGATCAGTGGTCGTCGAGAAACCTGACAACTTCAACCGATTAAATTACCTTTCTTAGTGCTCAGCCCAACGCTCCAAGCGTTTT